CTTTGCCGTTATTTTGGAAGTGAGGAAGATCTTTAGCCTAAAATTAAGGAGGTCAGGACTTCCAGGAGTAGGAAGAAGAGCAGAAAGGAAAAGAGACCATTGGGAGGAGGCTAGAAAATATTATTCGACGGCAATTTTACGAATCTCATTGTTTCCATGATAGGAGGAGATGACTGCATTTAAAGCAAGACTCATGGCGATTGTGAAAGAAAACCAAGACTTACATATGGTAATGAATCACTGAATGACTTCTGATATCAAGATTCTTGTTGAATTTCCCTTTCAGACCTTTCAATAGTATGATGTACAGTAAGACCCCGCATATAAGAACACCCACGACTTTTTAAATTCAGGTTAATCGACGTGTTCTCATTTAACGGGTGCTTAATGAAAAATCAGCTTGAGCTTGTTTTCTTTGAGGTAATCTTAAAAAAAGTTGACTGTATCAACAATGCAGCAACTGAGAGATCGAATCATAAACGTAATGATAATAATAATGTAGGCTGCTACATAAGATCTGCTTGTATCTACACTGTAGTTTGTTTTCTGTCACATGCGTTCTATTTTTAAGACCACTTTTTGATTATTTAGGCTGATTATGTACATCGTACCTTAAACGCCGTAATTTTTTTTAGAGAGTTGCCAAGTCCAAGCCAGATGCACTTGTTTTAGATGAATGGTAAGTAAATAGTTAAATCAGATGAAGCAATAAACCAAATCTGTTGTCGGCGGTCGATGGAAGCAGGGTTTTCCGACACCTCTTTTATAAATTGCTGGTTCTGTCCCGTTAGGAACAGGGTAAAACAAAGCTCAGTGCTATTCTTTGATTTGATACAGGCAACAGCTTCAAGAACAAGCTAAACTGGTTGTAGAAGAGAACTCAATACTGATGAAGCAACAAGACCTACAGCAAAGAAAGATCAAAGAAATGCATCAAATTCATGGCCAAGATGGTACGTTTTCCTTAWCCAGGATGTAAAATTGTTATCTGCATAGTCCATATCACAAGCCCGCCATTTTGAATGGTTTTGCAATGTATCATGGGATATATATCTCCCTTTCTTCATCAAAACAAACCGCTAAAATCGTAAAAACACTAATTAGTTTCAATTTTTCCACAGACAAAATATGTTTCTTCTCATTTTTGCTTGATTTGCCTAGTAAATGGACATTMTTGATTAACTGTACATTTTTTGGAGGTTTTTCTTGCTGTATTTCCTTGCATGTTGATATTTGTTTGTTTTTTCGCTTTTGAGATTAACTACAATATCAATGTTTCCCAATGTTTTTCGAAAACTGAGTCTACATTACAGACAACTGGAGCACTGACATCGTTGTTCACTTGTTTACTCATTTATCAATCCCAAAATGCACTGCGTCACAAGGCCTTCCGCGGGTTTCGATATGGACTATGGAGAACGGTACCACAAAATRATAACATCCAAATAAGGTTTTAATAGGCAATGTGCAGCGACGCCATTTTGTGCAGCAAAGCACGATGGTAGTTGTAGTCCTCGCACTTTTCACAGCCCCTAAAATATTTTCTGAAAAGACGTTTTTACATTTTGTTTTTAGAAACGGCACAAATACTTCTATTTTCGCTTAGAAAAAGCAAAAACTGGTTAAGAGGACAGATTGAGCGTACTTAAAATAGTGCTAGTGCTTCATTGATACTGGTTCATTTATGCTGACAATTTGTCTCTAAATAGCCAATTTTGTTTCATGGTTTTCCTGCGTTTGCTCGGCTATCGCAAATAAGTCCTATTATTATTATATTGTACGTGTAATTGTATGTACAATACGTGGTCACAACACGCGTTGCAAGATATGCTGCATTACAATACTGTAGAGACTTATACAAGTGCATTTCACATAGTTTCTAAGCTTTCACTGCGAATTACAAAACTGGAATCTGAAAAGAAATCCCTGAAAACAGAACTGGAGGACAGTCGTCTTTGCCAGGCTGCCTTACAGCAGAAGTTTGAGACTCTACTGGCACAAGAAGATAAAAAGATTCCAATCGAAGAACACCTAACAATCATGGATGAGTGTAGAAGGTAATTTACTGAGCACTTCGTAAAAAGCACAGAAACACTAGGAGGAGCCGATGGGAGAAATACATCTGTTTCTTATGTCCTAGCCAGCTTTAAGTCACAACTGGTTGCCAGCGAGAAATTCAAGAAGAGAAGAGAAATTCTAAGAATTTTTGCCAGGAAAATAAAAATTTCTTAACCAAAAAAAATATAAGCCTTTTTTTTATCGTTTTCCAGGAACAAAATTATTTTAAAGAAGGAAGGGCTCCACATTTGCTTGTGAGGTTGTCAAAAATGTAGCTCAAAATCTCTTTCCCAGGAAAAAATTCGTACAAGAACAGTTATTTAGAAGAACMGACCCCGTCGGCTCCTCATGAAACACTATAATTGTTGTATACATTGGCTAATAATAAGTAGAATGAGTTGACTATTTAACAATAACACCGTGAGGTCGAGTGGACCACGATTTGATAGCTCGTAGTTCACGAGAACGAGTTGTCTAATTGTTGAAATATCCACCGAACTATAGGGCAAATTAAAAAAAAGGCTATAAAGAACAATTTTTATCTAAATGAATATAGCCCAAAAATGAATGCAGMGGACCGATTAACTGATTTTATCCAACTTTAGTATTATGGAAGACATGAAAGAAACTAAAAAATCAGAAACACAAGACATGGAGTCCAAACTTGAGGTTGGTATATAAATGGACTTCGCCAAAATGACCGCCGCTCAACAGCATGATGACCTAAACAAGGCATACCCCAACCATACATTTTTTGTAATTAAAATATATATCTATGAATTTTCAATGGAACCTACTGAGGTTTTGCAGAGATTTGAAGTTTTACTCTTATCATTTCATGATTTATTTTGTCATTATTGTCAGAAATGAAACGCAYGAGTGGGGGCCATTTTTATTATAATTATAAGATATTATTCTAGAATACATAATTGACGGTAAAGATKTTCTTACACAATGCAGCTTTCTCAGAAACTTGTTTTACAATGTGTACTCGGTTACTCCGAGTTTCACGCGTTCATCGCGATAATCAGACTACCGAGAATATTGATAATATTCGAACTGAGAACGTACTCTACTCAAAAATTGCGATCCGAAAAAATTGCTGAATGGCGTTTTCAAGTTGCTACTTTGTGCTACGCTCCACATAATAAAAAATAGATTAGTTGCACTGTGTARCTCTTCTGCAGCTTGTGTCCCAACGGCATTTAAAAAACAACCTGGTGAGAAAATTGCGTTGGGTATCAGCACCTTAACTGGAGCGACGGTCCGCTTCCTGACACCATGATTACGAGAGCCGAAAGATGAACATGATTGGCCACAAGCTCTTGAAAACACGATTGACTATAAGCTGTAGAACAAAATTTTTTTTATTTAGCGTTTCAATAAGCGTTTTCTTGAAATCAGACTAATTTTTAGTAACTTTCATTAAAGGCGGTCAACCAAGAAAAGCAAAATCTTGCTTCAAGTCTTACAGGTACTGGTTATAACGTTTATTATGAATTGCAGTTTGTCTGTGGTCTTTGTTCGCATTCAGTTTGCACAAACAAGATCCCAAATTATCACTACAGATTATAACTGCTATTTACGTACATTCTCACCCATAATCKGCCATTCCGAAATTCAAAAAGGGACTGATAGTCACAAACTCGATGCAAACAGATTCCAAAAAAAAACTGGTGCCTAACATCACGGCGGTCACGGTCATATAGAACAGGTGCAGGACTTCTACTAGCTTCCCTGGTATACCAGGAGTAATAAGAAAATAAATTTAAAGTATCTCGGAACTGAGGCTAAACAGAGCACGCAGCAGTTTTTAAACCTGGTCACAACTCCCCTTGGTAGCACACACCCAGGAGCCTAAACATGTTTTGAGTTTTGACAGGAGCCCATTACTAGGAGCCTTCCTCTTCTTCATAAGCTCTTGGAACGGCATTTACCCCTCTTGGTCCTCTTGGTGTTATTTTTAGAATTGCTCATTATAAATTCAGCGCAAAACAGCCAATCAGAAAGCGACTTTAACAATAGGTTTCTGAATGACCGACGGCCGCCGGTCGACCGCCGGCGAGGAAGATCTTAGTACTAGACTATTTCAAAATTCATTTTCAGGATGTTTAAAGTTAACTTTTAGTAGAAATATGTCCCAAAAAAGGAAAGCAGAATCACCTTTCGCTTCATATTTAGCCGATGAGGAAGCCAGTGATAGAAAACAGGTGTAATTACTCTTGGGAATACAGGGGAAAATCTGGAGAAAAAACAACAACCAACAATTATG